CGACTTTTGATAACCATAAACAAACTTTTTATACGAATTATTCTCTTCATATACCAAGCATTTCTAACCGCAACGCAAGAATAAAATTGAATTCCTTGAAATATTTTCATTCTAATCAAATTGTGAAATACTCGTATCATTTGAAATTTACAGTGAAACGTTTTGTAGTTTATCTTTAAAGTTACATTTTTCGTTTCGTTATTGGAAAAAGTAACGATCCGGCGCTTCCACCAAAACTAAAATTTAAAAAATTACTATATGTACTCTATTCGTAGGTATACAAAAACATGTATGATTCGCTGGGAAAAAAATAAATATATTTGTATTTTAAATAACATTATTTATTACACACTAGTTATATTATTATTATTCGACTCTCAATACGTTTTGTGAGACATCAAACATTCATTAATGAGAATATTAGCAGAGGTGAACCTAGAATAGGCATACGAGTAAATTTTATTTGCTTATTCCTGAAATATTTGCTATTATTATCGATAAAACAAATTATTATTGATTACTTAAAGAATAAGTAGAATAGCAAAATGAAAAAAATGAAGTTAAACTGTTTGATGAACTTCTAACACATTTAAATATTTGTTACAGTATAATTTCTAATATTTATAAGTGGAACTAAGAACTAACCAAATGTTTTATGTATTTATTTATTTATTTATCTATCTACTCAAATATTTGTGTTTGTCTTTTTTGTATCTAGTAAACTTTCAGTTACCTACTACTTAAATAATGTCGAAATAGTGTCGTAAAATTAGTTTGGCAAGTTGATTTTCTAATACGAAAGGGATTTTGTCGATAGTAAATGAATCCTACAATAAGTGTCTTAGGGTTGATATAGTACAATTATAAGAGACATGTGCAACTTTTAGACAATTCTATTTATATATTAATGATAAAAAGAATCTAAATTGAGCTATGAATATATATTATAAAAAAATAACAAACAATAAAAAGATAATAAGAGAGACTCTTCTTCGACGTTTAAGTTTGGTACTTGGTACCAACGAAGAGGTTTCATACTTGGTAGAGAAATTCAAAGGGGACCATGAGTTATAAAACAAATAGTGTCAGATTTAGGACCAAATAGATTATCCTTTACCCTCCCTCTCTTACAATCCACCTTATAAGCACCAAGTTTAGTATTTAAACATCGATTAAGTTCTAGAAATGTGTTCCGAGGGGCATGGTTTAGACCGTTGCTTAGCATTTTGGAGGACTCTGGTTCGATTCCGGGTTCGTCTGCTATGGTCCAAGTTTTTCTGTGGTTTCCTTGCTGCTAATATTCCACAGATAATTTTTTATTTTCTTTTGTCTTCATTTCGCCTTTCTCGCCCTCACCACCCACCCATCCCCACGATTTCTGAAAGAGGGCCTTCCGCCCTACTTTCCGGCGTAGTCCGGAGGGACTGCCCGCCCACCAGAATTACTGGCTGGTGGGAATGAAACACCCAAAAGTTAAATGTTCTAGAAATGTAGTATTATACTCTTTGATAATGGTGTAAAAGCCGAATTCTCCTAATTCGACAGAATATATGACAATTTTGTCAAACATACCAAATGTTTTCTTTTCGATATTCTACATTTGTTTAGAAGAGATATAGTAGTAGATGAACAATTCCAGGCATTTTCATTTCCTATTCTGCTTTAAGATCAGTTCATACCATTGCCGTTAAACAATACGATGAGTAGATCGCATTTGTTGTTATCAGCTTGCGTAGTAATTGGAACAGATACTTACATACTTGAACACTCACAGCACAAGCGCCAAAATCAGACAAAAGAACTATGACTAATTTTTTACTTTGTTTATAATCAACCGACCTTCTCAGAATGCGAATAATCACGTTTTCGATTGCTAATCAGTGTATTCAGAAATTAATAATCCAAATGAGGATATTTTAATTAACTAGAGACATGCAGTTAGGAAATGTTTTTGTTTCTTTTTATTTTAATTGGTGTCGTAAATCTAAAGAAGAAATTAATTACATATTGAGCATTCATTTTTGTATTTGTCGGTGATTAAGAATCATTAGCAGAAGGGATAGATAAGAAAAGCCCGAAATTATATTAATTTCTGATCTCACCTAAAATTATTATTAATCTGATATGCAATTTGTTCTTATGCATTCTTTAGTAACCACAAGCAAGCGTATTGATTAAATCTGATAGAATAATAATGGAACATTTAAAAATATATTATCGTCAAGTAGCCAAATTAGTGCATGATTGCATTTGTTTCTTTTAATTAGCTAACATTGCTATTGCAAATGCTTCATAATTACTGGGTACCCTAGCAAATTGCTATTGAAAATATTTTTTTGAAAATTTGTTACATATCATTGTCATTTTCGAAGTGTATGAAAAATATCGATTGGTTTTGAACTTGAATCGAAATAATTCAGTAACTATTTATTGACTTACAAAATATAATAAATAAACTACTATAGCTTGAGATTAACCAAAATCTCCTAAATTGCATTATTTCTTGGAATGAACAGTATTTCGTATTGACGATTTAGTTAGAGATGGCAATTGTTAGCATTGAAAATTACATGCCATTGTCCTCACTACCTACAAAAAATATTTTTTTATTGTCTTTAACAATAGTCAGCACACTTGTAAAGCTTCTCAAGTATATTTTGGGATTTAAATGAAACTGAACGAATTTGATCAACTTCCTATTGTACTATTGTAATCTGATAATACGACCGCTTGATTCGTACCAAATTAACCGGCAAAATCTCGTATATTTATTTATAAGCCCGTTTGATTTCAAGACATGAATCAAGATTGCAAATAAATATACAGTAATTGTCCAAAATTGAGGCTCCAGACCAGAATCACTCCAAATTTTTTTTATAGACTTTCAGTCACTCTACATAATAGAATTCGATATTAGAAAGTGGGGGAGACAGTTTTTTATGACTTCGTAAATAAAAAAAGCATTAGTTTTATACATTTCCTAGTACAATATCGGAATTGTGAGACATCAAACATTCATTAATGAGAATATTAGCAGAGGTGAACCTAGAATAGGCATACGAGTAAATTTTATTTGCTTATTCCTGAAATATTTGCTATTATTATCGATAAAACAAATTATTATTGATTACTTAAAGAATAAGTAGAATAGCAAAATGAAAAAAATGAAGTTAAACTGTTTGATGAACTTCTAACACATTTAAATATTTGTTACAGTATAATTTCTAATATTTATAAGTGGAACTAAGAACTAACCAAATGTTTTATGTATTTATTTATTTATTTATCTATCTACTCAAATATTTGTGTTTGTCTTTTTTGTATCTAGTAAACTTTCAGTTACCTACTACTTAAATAATGTCGAAATAGTGTCGTAAAATTAGTTTGGCAAGTTGATTTTCTAATACGAAAGGGATTTTGTCGATAGTAAATGAATCCTACAATAAGTGTCTTAGGGTTGATATAGTACAATTATAAGAGACATGTGCAACTTTTAGACAATTCTATTTATATATTAATGATAAAAAGAATCTAANTTCTTTTGATAGCAACACGAGGAAAACAAAAGGAGAGTATAATTTTTATTTATTTAATTTTCCTTTTTTTTAATAATTTTTTTTATTAGGCACATATAAACCCTCAGGGTTTTCATTAAAAAAGGGGATTCAATTTTTACCCTGCGTAATAATGTTACTCAAGTGATTCATAACTGAAATTCTTTACAGTGTCGGATAATTTCTTAACACTTTCCATGCTTCACTTACAGTAACATATATTTATAGAGTATTTGTGAAATGTAAAAATACATAAAAACTGCGTAACGCGTACATAAACTGAACAACTGAAGTACAAATTAAATAACCGTGTCTCCCTGACCTTGTCTTTCAGTATAAGTACTACTGCAATTAATATTCGTTGTTATTATTTATTCTACATGAAAAGAAAATGCTTAATGCGTCCACTGTTTAGTGTTATGCAGTATTTCTGAGGATAAACCTATTTAGATAATCTGTTAGACAAATAATAACTTGAAAAACAATTTCATATGTAATTAAGCATGATGGATATTAAAGTGTCCAGGGGTTGTCAAAGGGACCTTAAGTTTTAAATTAGGAAATAGATAATCATGATATAAAATTGGGCGATATACTAGGGCACTAATATTATACAGGTAATCTGTCACATATCTTCAACCCCGATCCACATATCTGCAATTACCTAAAGTACTTTTAAAGGTTAAAACTTCCTTCAAGAAGTCAACTGTGAAGTCAATGTCAAAGTCACTAAATATATTTATGTGATTTTAAAGTTTTTTTACTGATACACCTACAGGTATATCCGCACCTAATACCTATAAACTTAATGAAGGATAATATTTACACACTTTTTAACTATTATTACAACAGACGGTAATTAAATTTGCGGTTACCATAAAACAATGTAGAAAACAACACGTTTTACAAATTGTAGTTGATTGACTTAATAGAGTAGTTTAAGATATTATAACACAAACTATAATAATCCTTATCGGAAGGTCACAAGCGTCTTAATACAACCCAAATATAAAAAGAAAACAACTTTTTTCTATGTATAAGGAATGTTAATATACATATCGCTCTTTCAAAGACAAATTAAATCATTTTATGCATTTTTGCCCAATTACAATTTCATTGTTGTTTTTCTCTTGAAGGTATTTTGTTTTTTATTTCAGTTGATTTATTGTATTAATTCGTTAACTTATTTATTTCGTAGATATTTTATGAAGATGGAAAAACTTTGGCGGTTGTAGTAGAACAAACAGAATAGCTCAAAACCCCAACGCCAAAACACGACACTGTAGTTGTCCGAAGCACTTTAGCACTGTAGTTTACTTCAGTCCCTGAAGAAGGTAACTTTGTTACCGAAAAGTTCTTCGGACAACTACAGTGTCGTGTTTTGGCGTTGGGGTTTTGAGCTATTCTGTTTGTTCTACATAGATATTTTGTTTATAAAAAACTTACCCAAAATCATAGTCAAACAGTCGTTTAAATGAGTCAAATTAGCGTTATCCAATTCGGTAAATCCTTCATCAGAAGTTCTTGAACTGTCCGGACTGCAAAGCGGCATTTTTATAAATTCGGCAAGAGTTAGCATATCAATAACTTTACACCACGATAGATACTATTAATTAAAAATAAAAATCCCGCGAAGGTCAATTTTTTAACACACGAACACGACGTTGTTGTAGGTGTATCAATTAAAAACACTAACACTTATCGACATTTACTAAAACAGAGAAGAAGTTCTTAAGCGAACACTGGCAACATTTAATTAATATTTAATTGTCTTGACTGTTTTTCATCACTTACAACAGTGACAACAGCACTACAATATGTGGACACGTCTAAGCTTGCTGACAATAACACCTTGGGGAACATAATAAGGCTTTAGGAATGGTGGGGAATTTACATGAAGATTCTCCTTATCGACGATAGATAACACATTTAATTTCGTGTTACAAATTGTGGAAATGACTCTGTATTTACATCGATGATAATCAAATCACTTTCCTGCAGCGTGAATATTTTTGTATTTGTTAAGCCGATAAAATAGAACCTATTCGAACTTACTCATTAGATCGCTACTGAATTGACGATTAAATAAACAAATTATGTAAAATTTATTTAACGATATTAATTAGAATTACGCTATTTCTCTAGGGAAATTACAACTGTTTGTAAGTAACGCTGGTCCATCTATAACTTTAAAGAAAATATTTCGCCCCTAAATGTGGAAAATTAAAGGAAAATAGAAAGAAAAATTGACGTTATATTCGTCAGATCTTTTTAACTTTCTTTGTTTGTCTGTCCATATAAACAAAGTATAGAATGCGTCATTATATATTTAAATTATTTGATAACAAGACAAAATTTTGAAAAAGTTATAATATTTATCGTATATTGTCGTTGGCTTTGAACCTTATCAGAGGAAATACCAAGTAGCGTATGGTTAAGTGCCTATTAAGGGCTGCGTTATCAAAAACTCGTCTATCAATCGTAAGCACTGATAATAAAGGCATTTCTTTTCTCTTATCAAGCATTTAATTGAATGTAGATGACTTTTCTGATAACGTGTTTAGTTTAAAAACAAGATGCTTTACGTTGTTCTCATTAATACAGTAACTCTATTTACTTCATGCATTGAAAGTATAAGGAGAGAGAGAGATATTTTTAATAAATAATCATGAACGCTGTAGTTGTAGCTATAAAATTTGAAAACAACGGTAATACTAGGCACATGTGAGAAAGTTCGTAGATGTTTCAACACGACTGCCACATATCTCATTTTTTGGTTAACAGAATAGATAAAATTTGAAGAATAAAAATCTTAAGTTTTTTGGAATCGGCCTGTTTTNTCTTTGGCAAATAATTCGCTTTTGCGGACAATGCGTAATTAACGAGTCTGGAGATACGTGATTATAAAAAAATGAAGACCGTTAATGTTCTCATTCTGTGCCATTTCACTGTTTTTATTGTTTGTAGTGAATCACGATTATCCTTTTGTTGACATAGACTTTGGTCGGTCGTGATCTCTGCTGTGGAAAACGGAACTCCCTGTTTCTCATTGGATCTCTTGGTGCAGATAACAAAATATGAAATGAAATGTAACGTTTAACGTTCATACAAAAATTATGCAATAAATGTGCTTTTCGAGGTTTTTCTTGCTGGCAGATAAATACTACAATTTTACATAATCTTATAGAGCAAGCGCGAGTTGTAAACCATTCTAGTATTTACTTACAAATAAAGCTAAAGATTGTTAACATTCTAGGCAAGTTCCATTGGTACCTACCGACACCTACCGACATGAAATTGATCTTGATGAGAATGGACCCAGCAAGCAAAACTAGAATTGTTATGTTGTTGTTTAAAGCTTTTCTCAGTTTGGTGAATGAAATGTTTCATATTGCGTCTTTTGATCGTCAAAATGAGATTGCAAAAAGAAAGTACCCAAAATAATAAAGTTACGTAGACCAAAAAGTAGAATATTTATCTTTAAGTACGAGAAAAATTGATGTAGATTAAATCGACTCCATTTTATAAATCCTATGTGCTAAATGGTGGCCAGAAACCATAAGATGTTTATCGTTCTAAGAAACTCTTTTGATTTGTAATTTTCTAGATATTATTTAGTTTAAAAACCACTTTGACAAAATAGTACCTAAGCTCTTTTAAACGGACCTCTCTCGAAATTTCGATAATCTTACTATTAAAAGGGTTACAACATCATACAATATCACAAACAATATTGTGTAAATTACCTAGTAATATTGTTCTAAAAATACAGTTATCATCCGTTCTATTAAGAATTTCATATCTTTACTTAGAATTTAAATGGACTACAGAACTTATTATGAGTTAAGGGGTTTATAGGAGTTATCAACTTATTGTAGAGAAAATCTTAAGGCGCTGTTAACTTCTAAGAATTTAAAATTACTTCTCAGAAATGTAGTTTAACGAAATCAATTTAAGGTGAAGGGTTATCAACCATCAAGAGAAAAAGGCACAATTTGTTGTCTTTTTTTATGATTTGAATAAAGTTTCAATACTTAAACGACATCCTCTAAAATACACATTGGAAAACCATGATAACCCTCGTTTAAAAATTAATAAAACTGCAAATAGCCAATTAAATTTAAAAATAAATAATAAAACATTCTTACCAGTTGTTATAGAAGGCATTGCTATTGTAACATGATGGGAGGCAGCAGGAAATTCGTTGACTTCGTCAATGGAAGATGGTGAAGACATGGTAACGTCTGTGGAAGTCATCATTACCATTTGCAATTTGCATTAACATTAACAAAATGCACAAAATTGTTTTTAATTCGTGACACTAGAACGCGTTAATTCGTACCGACGAAAATAACTCAACTTTGTCTTAACAACTTCTTTCACTAAACAAAATTACATTTTACTGACTACTTTACATACTGTGATATCACAATATGTTGCACGATGCTCTTATCAATATAAATATTACTTTCTTCTTGTTTCATGATAAATAACGCGTATTATTTACATACATTAATTTATAAAGAATGTGGTCTAATTAAATGAATTTTGGGTCCTTTGTTGCACTTATTTTTCAATAATTATTAGAAATCGACAGTTCTTTTCGAGTAATTTGTATTGTCGATGTATTTTTATGAAAATGTATGCATTCTTTTCGAGTGACTTCAAGCACGTGTTTACCGTGTGACCAGTCGTACCGCACTCTTTTTTAATAAACGTTGAATGTCAAACACCTTTAATTGAACACATTGTGGTCCATCTACTTGCAACATACCTTTTTTCGGAATTGTTACTGAATATAAGTTAATAATCATCAATTTATATGGTGTTGTCAAGCTATAAGCTTTTTTAGTTAAATTGAATTTTTAAAAACCACACAAGAGACCACTTTAAATTGGATGCGGATGTTGCGGATGTTCCGCGGTTAGTACAGGATCTTTTGGTCAATTTTCAACATTTGTTAATAAACAATTTTGTGGTAGGTAAATATAAAATAGGATTGGTAACTTTCGGGAATCACAATATAGCAATACAGATAAGAGTATCCCTCAAGTCGTCAACTGAAAAGTAATGAATAATTTCGTAATAGGCTTTCTAAACTCAAACAGCTTAAGTAAATAAAAGTCTTGCAGTAAATTGTTTGTAAGATAATAATTACTGTTGGTTATTGTAGCAACATTCAATATTATGATATTTATCTGTCTGTCCAATAAGTGTTTGGCAAATGAATAATTTTTAATAAACATAATGATANCGTAAAGTACGAACTTTTAAAAATTTAAATGCATTCAAAATTACGTTTTTTATTAATAAAAAAGAAAAAATATTATGTGCCTAATAGTGTAACTTCTGGCAAGCAATAAAAACTAATGAAAGCCATTATTCAAATAAATATCTAATCACAGATTACCAAAAAAACTTTTAAATTATTTTATTTAGTTGCTGTCTATTTTACTTGAAGAGTCTATTTTATTGTATGTATTTATTACATTTATTAACATAATTTGGTGTTTTTGAATAAAAAGGGATTACACTAATAATAATTAGATAATCTTTCTATTTATGTCTTAATCAGTCTGGTATTCTCTATTTTGGTATCCTTAATGTTAGGTAATGTGTAAAATAAGTTTCATTTGAGAAGTCTCATAAAATAAACAACCAGTTGGTATTTTGTGACAGAAATGTATTTACACTCAAACTCAGTGCTGCAAAATTATAACTATAACACAAATAAAAATTATAAAACTAGTTGAGTTAAGATGTAGGTGGTAAGTTGACTCATCAAATGCATGGCCAATTTTGCCCCTCCATAGAGTGCCACTATCCTATATTAAGACTCTAAACGAAAGGGCGATCAATCTTTTACATCTTTTTAAACATCAGATTACCAATGAAGCTTATCACATGGTCAATTCCATAATGGCATTGACTATGTCATTGTCGTTGTTCTTTAGCGCTTTAATCGCTTTTCCTCGACTCACGTTCGCCTGTGTCATCACCAGCTCAATGTCCTTTTCTTCAACACCAGTATCGTCCACTTCTTCATCTTCCGATTCTTCAGCTATAGGAGCCACTGAAGTGGTTGGATTGCCAGTTGCACCCTCACCAGCAGGGTTAACTTCCTTGAATTTCTCAGCAGCTGCCACTTGGGCTTGCTGGGACAAGTCTTCAATCTTAGCTTCTCCAAAGACAATGTATGTGTCACTCACTGGATTTTTGTAAACATCTGGTTTATTAATGACGAACAGAATGTTCTTGGATTTTCGAATAGTTACTCGATTTACTCCCTGAACCTAATAACAAAGAAATTACAATATATAATGTATATCAAACATCAAAAGTAGCAACTAGTGTTAAATGATTAAAAATGAATCAAGAATAAACAGTAAAAGTCAAATGACTCAATTACATTAGGTTTACATTAAAAATTAGCTCAGTCTGCCAAGAGAATTCATCAAAAACTTTTATGTAAAAGATAATGCGAAACCTTGGGCATCTCATCACAGCAATTCTTAGAATAGTATAGTGTTACTGATAAAAACTAACCGGTTTAAGTCCCAGCTTTGACATTATTTTTCTGGCTTTCTTTTCACCTCTAGACTGTTTAGCTTTTGATACCATATCAATGGGTAAACCTGCAGCTGCAGCCCCAGGATAAGCAGTAGTTCCTGTAGGACCCCCTGTACCTGCATCTTCAAGTTCTGGAATCTCATCATCAGTATCACTTTCTGTTGATGATGCTGACTGTTCTGGCTTTGTTTCAGCCACCTGAGGTTTCTCGACTTCTGTGAGTTCAGGCATGATCTGAAAGTTGTAAATAACAAGACACTAATTAAAACACTTTGATAATCACTTAACACACACTTTGAGGTTAACTTAAAACAAGCCTCTTTTTGATATCTCGATTTAAAGGGAACTTTTAAGTGTTATCACTGCATTCACTCAGGTTGTAATTGAGTTATATAATAAATTATTGGAACCGATTTTTTATTATCTTCATGATATCGCCATTGTCAAATTTTAACCGTCAACGTGATAGGTTAACGGTATGTTTATAACAGTTTATATTATATTTTTCATTAAACACAAAAGGAAAGTGTAATTGGCGATAATGTTTTATGAAAAAGAAAACAATTACATGAAAATAATAGACGATGTTTTATATAAATTAAAATTTACCTTATCGTACTGAGGATAACAATAAAATAAAAGTAATGGCGCTATAATTGGAAGAAAAGAGATAGGAATCTGCCTTTGTATTTGTCATTCGATTGTGTAGTTTGTACAATCATTTACTTTAAATGTTAATAGATGTCAGCATTTGCATCAAAATTCAATAAAATTCGAATTTAATGAAATATAGAATATCCTTATTAATAAATACACAAAGTAGTTAAAAAAGAGAATAAAAATACCTCTATAATCAATATAACAACCATTTACCCAGTTATAAAGCAATACTTGTTGTACAAAATTTAGTCTGCCTTAACTAAAAAAATATACACAGGGTGTTTACAATGAATATACTAGGTTTCCATTTTAGTTATATTTGAAATTTTGGAATATTTTAACAAATTTAGATATATTACGTAACCACGAATAATGAAAAAAATAAAATAAAATTGCAGTAATGACTGAATTAACAGAAATGTATATTGAAAATTTTGTACATATACTTATTATTATAAATCNTCTTACATATATTTTATAATATTTATGTGTACATTGTAGTCAATTCTTAAAACGCCTAGGAGTAACTGTAGGTAGAGAATAATTAATTAATTATTAGGTACTAAACTTTCTAAAATGGAATGATCCTGAATATTAAATATTTGGACAATTAAACTTCATTTGATATCTGTGTTTGAAAGTGTTTTCCGTATCAATATAAAACGTATTAATTCGTTTGTAAGATTTTTATTACAGCAATTTCGTAATTAAAAAGTACCTAGTTATTAGAAGAATCTACGTACTTTAACAATTAATACGAATCAATTAAATTAAGCATTGCCACGTAAAAATTTAACGCGTTTTTAATTTTGGCTTTTAAAAAACAACTTTTATTGAAGTGATTTTTATGAACTTACACAACGCGAAGTAATAAATACTTAATAAAGTCTTTCTTTTGATAGCAACACGAGGAAAACAAAAGGAGAGTATAATTTTTATTTATTTAATTTTCCTTTTTTTTAATAATTTTTTTTATTAGGCACATATAAACCCTCAGGGTTTTCATTAAAAAAGGGGATTCAATTTTTACCCTGCGTAATAATGTTACTCAAGTGATTCATAACTGAAATTCTTTACAGTGTCGGATAATTTCTTAACACTTTCCATGCTTCACTTACAGTAACATATATTTATAGAGTATTTGTGAAATGTAAAAATACATAAAAACTGCGTAACGCGTACATAAACTGAACAACTGAAGTACAAATTAAATAACCGTGTCTCCCTGACCTTGTCTTTCAGTATAAGTACTACTGCAATTAATATTCGTTGTTATTATTTATTCTACATGAAAAGAAAATGCTTAATGCGTCCACTGTTTAGTGTTATGCAGTATTTCTGAGGATAAACCTATTTAGATAATCTGTTAGACAAATAATAACTTGAAAAACAATTTCATATGTAATTAAGCATGATGGATATTAAAGTGTCCAGGGGTTGTCAAAGGGACCTTAAGTTTTAAATTAGGAAATAGATAATCATGATATAAAATTGGGCGATATACTAGGGCACTAATATTATACAGGTAATCTGTCACATATCTTCAACCCCGATCCACATATCTTCACAATTACTGGATAGAAGCTCATTAGGGTCTTCCGCCCTACCCTCTAGCTTTGGACTAAAGTATAGGTCGGGGAAACTACCCACTTACCACGATTTTTTGGCGACCAAACGATAATAATTTATAATGTATTGATGAGAACCAGTATGTTCCACATTTGGACAAATTAATGTACTGATTCTGTCCTAATTCTGTTCTAAACGACGTCGTTGTTTGGAGTTATTCTTGTGGAAATTTCATCCAAACTTGTTAAGCGGTTTAACAGATATTAACAAACGAATAATAAGGAAGAAAGAGTAATTAAACTGTATAGATCTATCTCCTCCCATAATTTAAAAGCGGTATTGACAAAACAGTATTGTATGAAAATAAATAAAAGTAAAATGAAAATACTGGTTTGCAAGGGAAGAAAAAGTAGGGAAAGAGCGAATATAGAGATAGGAAACGAAAAATTAGAAGAACTGGCTGATTTTAAGTATCTAGGAAGTCAGATAAGTCAGGACGGAAGGAGTAGTAGAGATATAAAGCAGAAGATAGCGCAGGGTCGAGTCGCCTTCAATAAAAAGAAGTCACTTCTATGCTCGCGAACGGTTAATTTAGAAATTCTAAAAGGTTGTTAAAGGTGTATGTTTGGAGCACGGTTCTGTACGGGTGCAAAACATGAACAGTGAGCGCGGCGGAAAAGAAAAAGTTAGACGCGTTCAAAATTCTGGTGTTACAAGCGAATGATGAGGATACTGTGGATAGAGAAGGTTAGAAATGAAGAGGTATTAGAAAGAATAGGAGAACAGAGGACTCTATGGAAGTCAATAAGAAATAGGCGAGACAGGTTGGTAGGACACCTTCTCAGATATAAAGGTTTACTCAGAGACATATTAGAGGTAGAAACAGGAGTTAGGAGGAGTAGAGATAGACCTAGATTAGATTACTGTTCGCAAATAGTTAAGGATGTGCGTTGTTCTAGTTTTAAGGAAATGCGAAGATTAGCTCATGATAGGAAAGAGAAAAGATTCCTTTTCGGTTAATTTTTGGAATATAAGAACATCATAGTCACTTCATCGTCGCTTATCTTTTCGCTATAAACTTTCCTCTCTTCCACTTGCTACATACATGTAAAATCGGTATTTTAGAACGAATTAAGTCATACAAAAGTTATTTAACATTCATTGAACTGAAATCGGTTTTGTACGTACATATGTTTTATTTGTTATTAAAAGAGCGTAGACTCATGTTTGTATTGCCTCTATCTGAATATATTATTTATAACATACACTACATTTTCCATCATTCTTCAAATTACGACACGGTATTGTAAATAGTATAGGTTATCAGTAGGAGATCCCGGATACGCGACAAGCACATGAAAATATTTATTTTTCAATGTATTATCCTATCTTTAAAAGAATTTTATTAATAACCGAATTGATATTGTCTGTAGACACATACCTTTGCATTATCTGCAGTAGGTGGATTAAAGCTATTATTAGGTATTATCCATATTAAAATCTAGCCTAAATAATTGCTATCGCTTTTTTTTTGAAATCTTCATCAAATTATCAACTGGAAGTGTGTATTACAAGTCTGATGATGTAAAGTATTTTATCAAATGCAAAATCAACTGTATCGTTTCGCCTCCTATGGTGTTGTCAAGCTATAAGCTTTTTTAGTTAAATTGAATTTTTAAAAACCACACAACAAGAGACCACTTTAAATTGGATGCGGATGTTGCGGATGTTCCGCGGTTAGTACAGGATCTTTTGGTCAATTTTCAACATTTGTTAATAAACAATTTTGTGGTAGGTAAATATAAAATAGGATTGGTAACTTTCGGGAATCACAATATAGCAATACAGATAAGAGTATCCCTCAAGTCGTCAACTGAAAAGTAATGAATAATTTCGTAATAGGCTTTCTAAACTCAAACAGCTTAAGTAAATAAAAGTCTTGCAGTAAATTGTTTGTAAGATAATAATTACTGTTGGTTATTGTAGCAACATTCAATATTATGATATTTATCTGTCTGTCCAATAAGTGTTTGGCAAATGAATAATTTTTAATAAACATAATGATAGGTTTGGTATCTTGTAGATATATTTATTTTGGTAAAGCCGTATCATATTGATAGTAGCCGCAAGAGGCATTTAAAAGTGGATCAGGGTTTTATTCCTGTTTCATGAAGCACGCACATACATGATGATTCGATACGTACACAACAAGAACGCAAATACTTATACTTTATCCATTATTACACATTATTAATGTCGTTGACTTCACTAAATAAAATGTACAGTTGTTGATTATTAAGAAAATTCCATTCGCTGATAAAATATTGAAGGCACGTGTCCACAACAATTATACCTATTTGAAACCCTCTTGTTTTACTTTTAGTTGTTGGCTATTATTAAATTTAAACGTGTCAGAAGCGATACTTAGAATTCTTTAAATTCTCACGACTAGTCACACTACACATTCAACCTTGCTATTCGCAGTATTATTGCTAATAAAGGATTTGCAAAAAAAAAGAAATTTGTATGTTTAACTGTGAACACCTGCAGCCCTTACTGTATCCCTTTATTTATTTCATCATTCTCTTACGTATTACAATATATCCCTTAGAAATACATTAAATTTTGACCTCAATTTATAAACATATATAAAATGCATTTTCATTGTTCACCCTACCATTGACTTGTACCATATATATATATAGGTAACTAATGCTTATAAATGATCAAGTGAATTGATTGTTTTGTTCTTAAAAACACAGCTGCTAAATTTGTTTTACGTACAGTAATGATAATTCCATCTTTGGCAAATAATTCGCTTTTGCGGACAATGCGTAATTAACGAGTCTGGAGATACGTGATTATAAAAAAATGAAGACCGTTAATGTTCTCATTCTGTGCCATTTCACTGTTTTTATTGTTTGTAGTGAATCACGATTATCCTTTTGTTGACATAGACTTTGGTCGGTCGTGATCTCTGCTGTGGAAAACGGAACTCCCTGTTTCTCATTGGATCTCTTGGTGCAGATAACAAAATATGAAATGAAATGTAACGTTTAACGTTCATACAAAAATTATGCAATAAATGTGCTTTTCGAGGTTTTTCTTGCTGGCAGATAAATACTACAATTTTACATAATCTTATAGAGCAAGCGCGAGTTGTAAACCATTCTAGTATTTACTTACAAATAAAGCTAAAGATTGTTAACATTCTAGGCAAGTTCCATTGGTACCTACCGACACCTACCGACATGAAATTGATCTTGATGAGAATGGACCCAGCAAGCAAAACTAGAATTGTTATGTTGTTGTTTAAAGCTTTTCTCAGTTTGGTGAATGAAATGTTTCATATTGCGTCTTTTGATCGTCAAAATGAGATTGCAAAAAGAAAGTACCCAAAATAATAAAGTTACGTAGACCAAAAAGTAGAATATTTATCTTTAAGTACGAGAAAAATTGATGTAGACTAAATCGACTCCATTTTAGAAATCCTATCTGCTAAATGGTGGCCAGAAACCATAAGATGTTTATCGTTCTAAGAAACTCTTTTGATTTGTAATTTTCTAGATATTATTTAGTTTAAAAACCACTTTGACAAAATAGTACCTAAGCTCTTTTAAACGGACCTCTCTCGAAATTTCGATAATCTTACTATTAAAAGGGTTACAACATCATACAATATCACAAACAATATTGTGTAAATTACCCCGTAATATTGTTCTAAAAATACAGTTATCATCCGTTCTATTAAGAATTTCATATCTTTACTTNCAATGTTCCCACATCACCATATGAGAATATCAGAAAAGTTTTAATTTTTTATTATGTTTGCCTTTTTATAGAGACAAAAATAATAAAATCACAAAACTTGAGAGAAAAATATTATTTACAATAAAACCGGTCGGTTTTTATGAACAGTTGTTCAAAATTAATTAGGAGCGAGATTGTTTAAAAATATTCGGTATCACTGACGAAAACGAATGCCTTTTTTTTGGGAAATTCGTGGGATGATGCAAATATGAAAAGCTATATCTATTTCGTTAAGATGTAGGTATCCAACTGTGTTATTAACCTTAGGCGTCAATCTGTTTTCCCTTTTCCAAAAATAATACTGTGAAAGTTCCACCTACTCAATATCCTTTAATTTTGCTCGAAACATGACAATATCTTACGTATCTGGTGACGCAATTTCCATTTTTTTATTGTTAGTAAACATCTAAAGTATTAATGTGGGTGACTAACCGTGACGTTAATAAGAAGATTTTTTTTGAATGAAATATTTTTCACTTTTGACAACTCTTTCGCTTATACTTGGACATTTGTAGTACAAAATGTAATGAAAAAGGACTTTTGAAATAGTATTTATCAAAATATGGAGTAAACACTCTGTAAGTAATTAAAATCGTTAATGTTAAGCTATCAAAATATTACTTTTAAAATTCTGTTGATTTTTATTCGTTAGATCAAGGGGATCGTGAAAAATATTTGTGGGATCGCGGAAAATTGATTGATTTGGATAAATCTTAACTTAAAAGTTTGAATAATGCTAATAAGGCTTGTTTGGACAAGGACGATAATCATTTTTGACGTCGATCATCTCGAATCTGGCTCCTGAATTGCCCGAAAGTATCGAAATTGCAAGCCAAATTGGCAACATTTGGATTTGGTAGTTAAAATATTTCAAAATCTTGATGTATTAGAATAATTACAAGCCCAAATTCTAATTGAGCTACAGAAGATAGTTCTTCTTGGTTGTTTTGTTCATGAATTTCACAAAGGAGTTTTGAAAATTGTGAAAATGCTTCAATGCAATTAAACAAAAGAAAGTAACATCTTCTGAATTAAAATAAACCCATCGGCGATATTTTTCTAAACTTACTCGTTATTCTGGGGGAGAGGGTCCTTTGCAATTAAAGCGAGAGTCACGGAGCAAAAAGCTCAAGAAACAGTGCTGTAGATTACAAAGGACAATGGTTGTATTTTTGAGTATCTTTAAGAGAAGTTCAATTTTTTTTGTACTTAAAATCAGTACTCCACCAGCAACTTTTGAATGCTATTGACAAAATAACTTTTTCCATTTTTTTTTCTTAACTCAATGTGGAGGAATATCTCACGATTCCTTACTGTAGGTACAATGTCTTTTATTTTTATATACTGACACTTTACAAAATGTAAAAAATGACATTAATAATAATGTTACCCAGTTTGCATAAACCTACTTACCGAGATATTTGCGCTTCATACTTCATGAATATGTTTGTTCGTTTAAAGTTACCTACAAATGTCATTTTGGCATTAAATAGGTCAATACAGACGCTTATTAATAGGTACATTTAATTGGTTCAGATTCAATTGGAGTTTGCGTTAATATGATGTGTAGAATTTACGTTCTTAAATGTTTAGTATTTACGATTTAGATTCTAAAAGAAGAATATGATTCACTGTCACCTACACGTAGGTAATGATTTTGCATACAGTCAAATCACAAATAAGTCATTGAAAAAGTTCATAAATAGTTTATTGTACGTCTAACATTGTGCATATTTTAAGAGATGCACATTTGGTTTTCTTTCTGCTTTCTTCTTTTTGTTTTCTTATGACTTATCAGATCGTTGAAATTAGAATATAATAAAGTTTTAAGTTAAAAGGTTGTTGCATGACTGTTGTGGTTGAAGGGGCTTTCTACATCAAAACAAACACTTTTGGAAAGTTTCACCAAAGCTTTATTTAAAAAAATAAAAAAAAAGTAGCCAAAATAAGTGGAAAGTCTATGAAACTTAACTTTAACTGGTTATATACAAGATTTTGGTTACGCGAAAGAGCTTTTTTTATTTCTAAGGTTTCTAGAAGAGATAACTTTTTAAACTTTAAACTACTACATTTTCTTCATTTAAATTGTGGTTAAAGTAATACTATAAATGTGTTCTTTTGTTCTTATGGTTATAGATTTCCCACTTTGCCCAATGTAGATCGCATCACAAAAATTGCATTTGTTTTTACTTCATTAAGCATGCTTCACATTAGCTGCACCCAACAAAGTGTTAATTATATTGAATAATAACTTCGCAAAGTTGGTTTAAATATTTATCATTACTTCGAATATGTTAATTCTTCTTCAGCGTAGACTGAATCGCCCAACTTGTCTTTAATTTAAATTAAAATCTTTGTTTTTGTTTATAGAAAATGTTTCAATGGCTTACATAGCAAGTATAACAACAATAATATTTTGTCGAATCACGAACGACGTATCGCCCTTTTCCCCCGCGTTTCTCATACTTAATCACGGGTAAAAATAGCATACGAACGCGGTGTTTGTGAAGTTTAAAATCTCAGGAGCGTCGCGACGCGTCTAGTTCTCGATTTCTTGAGACGCCGACTGCACCAGATCCATCTCTAATAAATATACACGTATCTGTTATAAACGCCGAAATAAAATCTTAACAAAATGGTGTACGAATCCGATTTCTATACGACTCGAAGGCCCTATAGGACATCTCCATCATTGTCTACTTACACTGTGTCGGTAAGAAAATGCTGTTTTGAGTTTTAAATGATACAAAGAAAGAACTAAGGCAAATGTAATGTGTGTAAGCTTGTAATGGCTTGTTAATTTTTATGTGTAATTGTAACTATTTTAAAGGGGTACTCTGTCGTGCTCACCCTTGTTGCTTAAAACGAATTGTAGCCATTTGGTGGTACTAACAACCACTGCAGACTGCAAAGTATATAGTATCGTTTTTTACAATTAGATATAAAATTTTGAGTAAACGATTAGGGAACATATTATGTATATTTCAAAATACAAATTTCAGGGGCATATGTCAGATCTGATTGCTATTTTTGCATATTCAAAAGACTTTATTTTAGTCGAGTATCTCACAGCTGAAAAAATTAAGCAAAATAAAAATAGTTTGTTACCATCTTATATGTATACGTGTATACTTCGTGCAGTTTTTGAAATTTGATAGATAATTCTCTGTCTACTGCGCCCGGTCTACGTATTATTCTGTATTACAAATTAGTGTTAATAAAAAATTTTCGGGGAATATCTCTTAATTATAATTAAGTTAATAAAGAGATATGATCCTTCCATTTATATACTTGGCAACATTGCTCTCAACGTCGCATTTTCATTGGGTGTAAAATTGAAAAGTGTATGAAGCGCTGATGGTATTTATAACCTGCCCAAATTTAGTCAGCCAGCCATCCAAATTCACTGTGTAAATTCTCAAATTCCTACATTTACTAAGTTTAGAACACATTTTTAAAACAATCTCTCTCAATCGTACACAGCTATAATTTATATAAACTACAAGTAGTTTTTATTACATGACAGCAGTTAAAAAAGGTGGTACAATAGCTGTTCCAGATTGAATTTTAAAATAGACGTGATTTTGCTGTGCTAGATATCCGAGAAATATAAGAAAAAAATGGGTCATTTGTGATTCGCTTTACGAGCGAATGCTGGGGATAGTCCAAATTTGTTTTTGTTTTTCAAAAAATTGCTTTTCAAGGCTACCGGTGTTATTTCATTGTTAAAAATAACAGCTGTCCACAAGCGATTTATTCTAATTTTTGAATTATGGATAGCCAAAAAACGAATAACAATATTTTCCATGGCTTTTCAAAACTTATTTTGTTTGTTCTAATGGAAAATACTTAAAGTCTATTTTAATCGAATTGTTGAATTAAACTTACTTTAGACTGATACATAAAATATGCTGATTTGTTTATTGTTATTGGCTAATTTATGAAAGGCCGGAGTTAATTTTAAATTAAAATTAAATAATCTGTCGCTATTTTCTTGAAAGAAATAGCCTCTTTGGATAAAATGCAATGCCTTTCTTATTTTTAATTAAGATTTATTTTAGTCGGTTTCGCAAAAAATTAGTTTTTGGAAATCGCCCATAAAATGTTTACAATAAATTCCAAGATTAACGGAATTTGTTTTGGATTAGTGGCAGTCATTATCTTCTTCCATCAATGCTAATTTCATTTATTCTATTATCAACCAAGTGATGATCCATGAGAAAAACTTTTTGCGTTTCAAATAATACCCCATAGCACATACTTGGTGGTGTTTTAAATGTACATATGACAGGGACTTCAAAACAAAAATGAGAACATTCAAAATGAGAAAAGTATGATGAAGCCCATAAAAAATCTGGAAGCAGCTAAAATTAAAATATCGCATACCAATTAAATTCACTATATCATAATGGCAACAAAGTACCCTTTTGAAAATACATTCTCACTAGTATCCCTTACAGGAGCATAGACTCCTCATTCTCAATTTTCCATTCGTTGTGTACATATGTCCCACTCCCTCACCTTTTGCTTCTAGTTCCTAACACATTAGCACCAGGCGTTGGGATTGGGACAAACGGAGTGCCCTTCCCTAACCTTCGGCTTATTCCAGAGACGTGAGATTCCATGGGAGAAGGTACCGTTTGTCCCAAGACCCAGTCTGGTTCCAGATCCAATCACCGCATTCGGGAAACGCAAAACACCGAAACCTGAAGAACGGGATAGATTTAATTACACACCACGGGAACACACTAACATACTGTCGCCTTTGGATAGGGCCAGGATAAGACCAAAATTTCTTTTGGCACCATCAAAGCCTTACGTGCCCGCCAGGGATGAAACCAGGGAGAGAGTTTTGTCCGCTATACGCACTAGGTCGTACGCTCCTCAAGAATTGCCTAGCGCAGACGGGATGGACATTGTTTTGCCCAAACTGCATAAATTAGCCGAAAATCCTGATTTACCGTATAAAAGGAGAATTGTTGCAGAATCAGAATTTATTTACTAAAATTTCGGCAGTTACATATTCACTATTTATCCATTTTAATTGTATGAGTTTTACTACTCCTTTTTGAAAATGTTTAGAAAATTGTGATAGAACAAAATTTCTTCATAAATCAACTTGATTTCTGATTTGATCTTTCGTACCAAGTAGATAGAATAGAAAACGAATCAATACACATTGAATAACAAGGTGTTTAGTACCTACTTACATTTTTTAGTAAGATCGAGATTTATGTAGATACACACTGCCATAGCTAAAATCAGGGACGCTTTCGCATCGCTATACATTTCCTACCCTGATCGACGATTACGGCCAGGGCCGCGGTCAAATGATGATTACGCTTTATTATGCTGCTTTTTGTGATATTTTTTGCATTTTTAGTTTAATTTCTTTAAAATATATTATAGAGAACCGATAATAAACGTTTCTAGATTACTCGTAGGTATTATTTCTAATGCTTGCTCAGGATTAATTATGCTGGTTGCTTCTTTGCGCTTGTTTTTGCTTTAATTAATTATAAAAACTATACCATAGTTATTTAGATTTTCATAAGTACTTACTTAATTAGGTGATTGATTAAAATTGTGTAAAATAGCTTCTATTCAATAAAGAATTAAGTTGACAATATTGTTTTCGTTATATTGAGGAACATCACAGTCAAATGTTAGTATTTTTGTGTTTGTTGATGATCTGCTCTTTAAAAGGGGGTGAGGTACACTAATTAAAATTTTAACATTCCCGACAATCCCAACACATCTCTCTCAAAACCTTTCTGTGCCCAAATAGTACACGTCCTTTTAGACTTTAGCATTTTCAAAGCACACAGGAAAATTGTAAGCTTTTGGTAGTCAACTGCGAATGTAACTGGGGATGCTTTTGGTGTGGTATGTAGTTAGAAGTAGCATAAGAAAAATGAAACAATTTTGAAAGTTGTAAGTACAACTAATTATTTGAGTTGACAATAAGCCCATAGTCTTCTAAAATTTATTAAATAAATTCACTGCAATGTTTTTTTTTTTATTTTTTACAACTTTCAACTTGTCAAAAACAACAACAGCCAAGCGGTGACGCGAATTGTTGGCACTGAGTTGATGAAAAGAAGTTGCTACAGTTAAAAACATTTGAATCATTCTTCTACAAGGCGTAGAATGCCGCCCAGTGGCTATTTCTAATTTTAGGAATTTGTTTTCTGATTTTCAAATACTTATCGAATTGGCGCTAGTCAGTGCCAGCAACAGTCCGCTGGCGACGTTGCTACATATCCGGCTATTATTGCAACTCCTTCTTTTTCCGTAGAGTCCGGGGCGTTACTACGTCGTACGGGATTCCCCCGAAAGGACCCGCCGCGCAGAAGAGCAATATTCGTATTCTTACTCTTCAAAGCAGGAACGTAGCAGCACAAGCGGCGATCCTTATTCATCCCGTCCTGTAACACGTTCTTATACAAACAGCGAACGCGTTGTGCGTTCGTCCGACGGGGGCCCTGGATCGTACTCTTATTCAACCGAAAGGTCTTCCCGTAACTATGGAGACGGTCCTGGAGGCTATCACTCTAGCTACAGTTCCACAACAAGTGGAAGATTGCCAGGTGGCACCAGCTACCGTCACTATTCCTATAGGGTTTAATTCAGCAAATCATTGGATAACTTCATTACTTACATACATATAATCTTTGATGTTTGAAAATCCCCTGTTTTTATTTGTAACACTGATTGGTATTATACATTCGAATGGACTGAGCGATCTATTTTCTTATGTACTTAATTTATAAATAATTAAATGTAATAAAAAGAAATGGTTTGCACTGAATGTAGGTTGCTTTTTCTGTCGAAAGCCCGAATGATTGCTCCTAATTCCGTCCCTGTCTACTAATCTTACTAATGTGGGAATCGGGAATAAAATCAACAGTGATATCGTAGTAAGATGTTAAGGCATCGACAAACACAAAAATAGAAGCTGTGAATCTACAGTTTGTTGAAAATAAATTTACTAACATTCCTTTCTTTCTTTCCTGTAGACTTATCTGCCTTCGAGACAAGTAAGAATACTACCAGGACTTGGAAAGGTAAGTTATCACAATGTTATTATAGACGATTTATAAACAAAGATGAAAAATCACTCAAAGTAAATATGCCCTTCGAAATGGTCGTCTTAGCTTCTTGCAGAACTGAGTAGAAGGGGTGTCCCCAGTAGCGGTATGTTTTCCGATTCCATGGGATTCCGTCATCATGTTGAGCAATTTTTTTCTTTAAGTTTAACTAAGTGAGACTTAATTCTAACTAACGCGAACGTTCTGAATTCGAGTATCTCATTTATTTTGATATAATTTCAATATTTCTCACTGAAACGCATTAATTTTTACAATTTTTAATCACAACTTTGTTACGCATTTTAATAGTAACTGGAAAATTTATTTATTATTATTAGAATCTCTTACGAATTGAATTCTCAATCATCAAAATCGGTTAAGAATTAATCAATTAGCCAAATCAATATTGGCTAACTTTGATGCTCATTAAAACAATATTCACTTATTTGTGTGTTAAGAAGTTAATCTCGTCTGTATTCATATCCAAATAAAAAGAAAACGAAGTTAATTTCGCCAATTACAGAATTGACGAAATTAACTTCGTTTTCTTTTTATTTGATTATGCAGTTATTCCCCCTCGATTAATTTCTGCGATAATCTTAGACAGATTAGATATGCAGGAGACTAATTTTTCATTTTGTGCACACGACTGTTTAAATCGTTATCTATATATACTTAAATTTTGGCACATCGACAAACGTGAAATGGTGTTTTACATAATTTTTTGTTTTCATTAATGATAACGTTTAAATATATAAATAACTGCGTGGCAGATAATTAGTTTGTGACATTTAATTTAATTACTGAACGTTTGATATTTTTAGTCAAAATAATGGTTCATTCATGCTACAATGTGCAAATAATATAAATTTTAATGTAATTTATACAGTCTAGGTGAAAGGTAAAAAGAAAACGTTTATACGTATTGAGTATTTAATCAAAATTTGACTTGTCTTTAGTATCAATATAACAGACTTTAACTTTTAACAAGATAATATAAAAATTTGGTCTTTTGTTGTTAACTGTATTCATGTAGCACTACCTTTAATGTTCTTTATAAAATGTTAAGGGTGGTTTCTTACAGTACCTTTTTTCGGGACCCCACCACCACGCGTTCAAGTCAACATAAACTTTATCACTTTGATCCACGTTAAGTTTTCTACACAATTCACATGAACTAAGTTGATTTGAAGTTTCAACATAATAATTCCTTTTCCATTCAAAATATTTCATGTATTCGTTAATATTTTTACTTAAATAAATCAAATAGTTCGCCAAGTCCTTAACTGAATCAAAATCGTTCACGTTTATTACAGAATAAGGGGGAGCTATTTGGGTGTAATTTGCACCACCGTACACGACCGGAACGATATTCCTTTTCAACACATTGTACATTTTCTCAGTAACGTAGTCTTTGCATAAAGAATTTTCAAGGGAGAGATAAAATAAGTAATTGTTCTCTATCATTTCGTAACACTCTTCGCTGGATTGTTTATAGTCAGTTACTTGTTTAGCACATTTATATTGGCCACAGTCCCCATAAATGTCGACGGGTAAATATTCTTGTAGTTCTCTTGTAAAGTTTTCTCTTCCACTCTTCGAGTTACAATTCGATACAAACCAAGCCACCAATTTGTCTCTCTTCATAACAGAATCGACGCTTGGAAGAACATAATCCGTTTCATTTTGAAGAATATAACTGTATGGTCTGAAAACGTCTGAATCTGATCTGTATGTCATGGTCCAGTTATAAAAGGAATTGTATTGTTTTAAGTCCGTCGTATGCAATGGAGATTCCAGATTCATGAAAATATACTTCTGTTGCTTTCTTCTTTTCCGAGGAGTACCGTGTTCAAGTTTAGAGTAGGTCGCATGGAATAAAATGGCATCAAATAACTCTTCGGGAATCAGGAATCTATTATCAGTGGAGAAACAATTTTTATATTCGCAACTTTTGAAAGGCTCGCTTCCAAAGCCGATACAGAAATCTTTCCGGTCAAAGAAAGGAGTCCAGTACAGAATATACTTCAACGATGGACCGGTAAGGTTCGTCAGAGGAGCAACCAGCATCGACTTTTTTATTGTGAGCTCATTCAAAAATAGGAAAATCAAATAAACAAAAACTATACTCACAAATATTAAACGTTTACGTTTCTTAAAATTATTCATATTTTAAATTCACTGTTATTCTGCGAATGCTGTTTCTAACTGTCTTACTTCCGCTCTGTTTAATGCTGGTAAATGCTGATAAAAATGTTATCATGCAGTTGCTATCTTAGTTATTTTTACAGTACTGTAAAACGGGTAGGATCATCATCATTTTTACTGTTATCAAACAAGAAATATTTAATTACTTTCTATCAGTTTAGGAAATTGCTACTTAATAGAAAAAATTAGAAGATTGCTAGATATAAAGAACCAGTAGGAGGCATTAGAAGCAGAAGAGGAAGCTAAGAAGGGTAGACGTAGATTAGATTACTGTTCGCAAATAGTTAAGGATGTGCGTTGTTCTAGTTTTAAGGAAATGCGAAGATTAGCTCATGATAGGAAAGAGAAAAGATTCCTTTTCGGTTAATTTTTGGAATATAAGAACATCATAGTCACTTCATCGTCGCTTATCTTTTCGCTATAAACTTTCCTCTCTTCCACTTGCTACATACATGTAAAATCGGTATTTTAGAACGAATTAAGTCATACAAAAGTTATTTAACATTCATTGAACTGAAATCGGTTTTGTACGTACATATGTTTTATTTGTTATTAAAAGAGCGTAGACTCATGTTTGTATTGCCTCTATCTGAATATATTATTTATAACATACACTACATTTTCCATCATTCTTCAAATTACGACACGGTATTGTAAATAGTATAGGTTATCAGTAGGAGATCCCGGATACGCGACAAGCACATGAAAATATTTATTTTTCAATGTATTATCCTATCTTTAAAAGAATTTTATTAATAACCGAATTGATATTGTCTGTAGACACATACCTTTGCATTATCTGCAGTAGGTGGATTAAAGCTATTATTAGGTATTATCCATATTAAAATCTAGCCTAAATAATTGCTATCGCTTTTTTTTTGAAATCTTCATCAAATTATCAACTGGAAGTGTGTATTACAAGTCTGATGATGTAAAGTATTTTATCAAATGCAAAATCAACTGTATCGTTTCGCCTCCTATGGTGTTGTCAAGCTATAAGCTTTTTTAGTTAAATTGAATTTTTAAAAACCACACAACAAGAGACCACTTTAAATTGGATGCGGATGTTGCGGATGTTCCGCGGTTAGTACAGGATCTTTTGGTCAATTTTCAACATTTGTTAATAAACAATTTTGTGGTAGGTAAATATAAAATAGGATTGGTAACTTTCGGGAATCACAATATAGCAATACAGATAAGAGTATCCCTCAAGTCGTCAACTGAAAAGTAATGAATAATTTCGTAATAGGCTTTCTAAACTCAAACAGCTTAAGTAAATAAAAGTCTTGCAGTAAATTGTTTGTAAGATAATAATTACTGTTGGTTATTGTAGCAACATTCAATATTATGATATTTATCTGTCTGTCCAATAAGTGTTTGGCAAATGAATAATTTTTAATAAACATAATGATAGGTTTGGTATCTTGTAGATATATTTATTTTGGTAAAGCCGTATCATATTGATAGTAGCCGCAAGAGGCATTTAAAAGTGGATCAGGGTTTTATTCCTGTTTCATGAAGCACGCACATACATGATGATTCGATACGTACACAACAAGAACGCAAATACTTATACTTTATCCATTATTACACATTATTAATGTCGTTGACTTCACTAAATAAAATGTACAGTTGTTGATTATTAAGAAAATTCCATTCGCTGATAAAATATTGAAGGCACGTGTCCACAACAATTATACCTATTTGAAACCCTCTTGTTTTACTTTTAGTTGTTGGCTATTATTAAATTTAAACGTGTCAGAAGCGATACTTAGAATTCTTTAAATTCTCACGACTAGTCACACTACACATTCAACCTTGCTATTCGCAGTATTATTGCTAATAAAGGATTTGCAAAAAAAAAGAAATTTGTATGTTTAACTGTGAACACCTGCAGCCCTTACTGTATCCCTTTATTTATTTCATCATTCTCTTACGTATTACAATATATCCCTTAGAAATACATTAAATTTTGACCTCAATTTATAAACATATATAAAATGCATTTTCATTGTTCACCCTACCATTGACTTGTACCATATATATATATAGGTAACTAATGCTTATAAATGATCAAGTGAATTGATTGTTTTGTTCTTAAAAACACAGCTGCTAAATTTGTTTTACGTACAGTAATGATAATTCCATCTTTGGCAAATAATTCGCTTTTGCGGACAATGCGTAATTAACGAGTCTGGAGATACGTGATTATAAAAAAATGAAGACCGTTAATGTTCTCATTCTGTGCCATTTCACTGTTTTTATTGTTTGTAGTGAATCACGATTATCCTTTTGTTGACATAGACTTTGGTCGGTCGTGATCTCTGCTGTGGAAAACGGAACTCCCTGTTTCTCATTGGATCTCTTGGTGCAGATAACAAAATATGAAATGAAATGTAACGTTTAACGTTCATACAAAAATTATGCAATAAATGTGCTTTTCGAGGTTTTTCTTGCTGGCAGATAAATACTACAATTTTACATAATCTTATAGAGCAAGCGCGAGTTGTAAACCATTCTAGTATTTACTTACAAATAAAGCTAAAGATTGTTAACATTCTAGGCAAGTTCCATTGGTACCTACCGACACCTACCGACATGAAATTGATCTTGATGAGAATGGACCCAGCAAGCAAAACTAGAATTGTTATGTTGTTGTTTAAAGCTTTTCTCAGTTTGGTGAATGAAATGTTTCATATTGCGTCTTTTGATCGTCAAAATGAGATTGCAAAAAGAAAGTACCCAAAATAATAAAGTTACGTAGACCAAAAAGTAGAATATTTATCTTTAAGTACGAGAAAAATTGATGTAGACTAAATCGACTCCATTTTAGAAATCCTATCTGCTAAATGGTGGCCAGAAACCATAAGATGTTTATCGTTCTAAGAAACTCTTTTGATTTGTAATTTTCTAGATATTATTTAGTTTAAAAACCACTTTGACAAAATAGTACCTAAGCTCTTTTAAACGGACCTCTCTCGAAATTTCGATAATCTTACTATTAAAAGGGTTACAACATCATACAATATCACAAACAATATTGTGTAAATTACCCCGTAATATTGTTCTAAAAATACAGTTATCATCCGTTCTATTAAGAATTTCATATCTTTANATTGCTAGATATAAAGAACCAGTAGGAGGCATTAGAAGCAGAAGAGGAAGCTAAGAAGGGTAGACGTAGATTAGATTACTGTTCGCAAATAGCTAGAGATGTCAACTTCGTTAGATTCATTTGTCGCTTTTCTCACCCATTCATTCCCATGATTCCTAATGGAATAGCTAGTACAAAATAAAACATTATCTTTCATCTGCCTGCTAGGATGGTAAAAAAAGGAAAAAGTTGCGTGAAATTCCAACAAATGATTTTTTTTGAGCTACAGTTTTTACTGTGAATTCCACAGAGAAAACCACTTAACTTTAACTACTTGTTACGAAGACCCTTCTGTTTATGATTTCATAGCTATTTGAAAATTTGCAGAAACTGTATCTATAATTTTTTAAGTATTTGATTGCATATATGTTAACGCAAATGTGTGTAATTCGTCATTGTATAAAATCGTTCGGAAATATGTGAAATAAATTATATTAGACACATTTCCTAGGAAATATATACATTTCCTAAATAACAATTGGAAATGTATTACATTCACGATGTCAATAGATACGCGGGGAGAAATATAACTCTGATTCTCAGTTTACGAATGTGTTTTATTCACAGAGAGCATTTGTTTTATACATTTCCTAGTGCAATATCATAATTTCATATAATTCCTAGGAAATGTATACAGTTCCCAGGATATGTGTGTATTAAAAAATCTTTGCAAAAATAATTTATACATTTTCTAAATAGCCTCGGAATTTCATACATTTCATACATATATATATAGTACAGATACGTACAAAATGTAAATTCGAACAAATAAATAATTTTTCTATTGTATAGGTGCATGTAGTACATACGTATGACAGAATTGTGCCCTATGTAGGCCACAAGAGGTTGACGGTGGTATCAACCCCACCATTAACGTTCAGAGTACGACCCTCTGTCATTTATAGAGAACTCGATCGCATTGCGAACAAAGTACGACCCTGGACTTCTATATCGCCAACTAGCCATTATCTGAATTCAGAGTCGGCAGTGGTAAGATTGTGTCGCTTGGGATCGCTTTGCGCGCCGCATTTAGTCGCTTTTATTACGCTTTATTTGCCTTTATGACGCCTTTCTCTCTCTGATACTTGATACAGAACAAAAACAGTTACACGTTATCTTACAAGGAAAAAGTAAAACCAACGCAGGTCGTGGTTGCTGTTGTCACCTCTCGTAGTTTAGTAGTGAGAATATTAGTGCGTAAAGCCAAAGATCCCGGGTTCGATTCCCGGCGGTGGTGTGACCACAGCAACAATTTTTCCCTGATTAATTTGAGGTAGTTTGTAGTTGGTAAATGAAAAAATCGAAAAAATAATTTCAAATTAATATTGCAACGCCGAAATTTTTTTCTCCACTAGTCGATTTATAAGTAACTTTACGATCTATTTGGTGTTCTTATCATTTTCAGGTCTCATATCTTACTGATATGATGATCGCGTGTACCATTTTTGTTTTGTATCAAGATCACAAATCTATTACACTGTCGTAGCTAACGACGAATCCGGTAGGTAAAGGTGAAATTTAGGATTCTGGGTTTGTACTCGGTATGACGTTTTGTATACCATCACACTAGATACATCTTCAGGGCTTTTCCGATTGAGATATAATACCTCAAATAAAAGAACTCGTGTGATAGCGATCGTCAACAGCAATCAAAATCACAATCCTGAATTTCACATTAGTCCTAAATATATATTTATATACTTGAGTAAATCCTGCAGTTACTTAATTGGTTGTGTACCTACCTGTAAATTGAGACGTCATATCTGACGCACTTACGTATGTGTATTTATATATCGTGGTAAGAAAATATTTACTTTTTTCCGTAATTGAAAAAACAAAAATAAATTTTCGTGAATCATACCTTATTCGAATGAGCTTTTTTTCGAAAAAGATGTTTATCCATAAGTGACCGCGATTCTAAAAAGGTCTAGCAACGAGTGCATAATCGGAATTTTTGGACGATGTCCAAACGCAAGCGAGGTACGAATCTAATTTCGAAGTTAAGTTTCTCATCATGATTCACAAAGAACCAACGTTTATTAACACGGTGTCCATGGCCTTAAAAAGGGAATGAAAGTTAAACTCTGCCTTTATCGCAGAGGATTTTATTAGGCCCTAGGATTTCGCTTGTAGTAATGCAGAGTAGTGGAATAGTAATTTATCTTTAATATAAGTTGCATTCTTTAACAGTTTATTGAATTACGTATGCAATTTATATAACAGCAATGTGTTTTTGTTTTAAGCATCATATTGTTTTCAGAGAGCATATATATAATAAAAAAGCACACATTTAAAATAGATGGTGAAAGGAAAATAATTTAAAAGGTTTGAACATCGGCAATAATCAATTAATCTTTCATTGAGCTTTTCTATACCCATTCGCTTAGGGTTATGTTAATATTCCTACCTTTAGTTTTCTTTCAGTTAGTGTAACAAGTCTTTTTGCAGAAACTTATTTACATAAGAAACCCATATACTGGAATTGACAGGGTAACTCTCCACCGCCCAACTATTATACGTTATCGTTACTATCCTAGCTACAATTACAGCAGCTATTACTATCCTCTTTCTTATTCGAGATATTTCTCGCCTTATCTAAATTACTGGTATTACTCCCCGACATATTTCCCCAGGTGGTACTACCCTAAATGTTTACTCGATGATTATGTGCCTTCGGTAAGTAGCTCGAACGTAAGAATAACTTCCTAAACTTTCATTTATTAATTATTATCAGCTTAGAACGTGTTCACATTGTGAAAAGGTCAAGGGAGTTATTAATTAATATGGTCCGTCGAGACTGTAAGGTAATTATTCAACTGCAACCTAAAATTATTATGATGGTTTAAGTGTAGTTTACATATATATGAATAATTCAATTCCATTATTTATGCCTTTAAAAATTAATTTACAACATTGATCTCCTGATGAAGCCAAGAATGTTGGCGAAAATTTGAGAATTAATAAGTGTAACAACAGCAGCCTATCGTTTCGTTTACAACTACTTTCGTACCGACACCTCAGTTTAATTAAATTAGTAGTAGTAGTTACTAAGATCAACTTCAGTTATAATTAGAGTATGCGTGGCAAATGCAAGAAATCTGTTGAAATATTTGCTAAATGGGAAGTAAATAGATACACAAGGTTGATAAATATACGTAAATTTATTGATTTTTGATAATAAGTCACATTAGATGATACCAAATCGACCGAAAGGCATTGCTCTGTTTATGTGGTCTGATTCAATTCATTCTCTCTAACTTTTTCATAGATAATAGACGGAAGTTCGCATACAGAAGTACGTAAACTATATACGATGAACACGTTTGGTAAGAACGTAGAAGTTGTGACCTTTTCTACTGTGAACACGATCTAAAGTTGTAAAATAATAATCGTGATTCAGATCATTCTAATTTATAGTCAGTTATTGTTTTTAATCAACAATTTACCGTATGCTCAAAGCTTCTAATAGTAATAATTTGATTAATGAGTTAATGTTCTATAATTAAATTCATTTAATTCATCATATGATTAGTGTACGAATAAAAATGCCAAATTACTTTCCAAAAATTAATTCTTCTACCATAGGACTACACTGTAAAATTGGCTTCTATGAATCACAAATATGAATTCTTACAAGAATGATTGAATGTAGTAAAACTGAGTCAATATGTATCCAATATTTTTTTTTCGGCCATCCGCATAAAATATGAAAGATAACGTAATGTAAGACACATTTCTAAACGCCAAGAAAACTGACACAAAATAAATAAAGTATTTATTATGAGAATCACTACATTTTGAAAATAGGCACAGGAAACCAATTTCAAATACAGTTGTTTAAGGCAAATTACCATACCATTTAGAAAACAATTAGATTATTTGCAACAATTATAAATTCAGAATCATTTATGCTAAAGATTCTTATGCACCAACTTAATAGCTACATAACTAATTAATAAATGACAATATTACAGCAATATGCTCACAATATATAAAATTGCTTCGTTTAGCTATGTCAAGAGTTTGCTTTACTATTATGGTTTATTTTTTTTTAATAAGTTTTAAGAAAAAAAAAAAATAAAATGCTGCATGTAGATAGTTTTTTTCTGTTCAATCATCTTGCATTCGCAAAAAAATAATTAACAAAAAAGTAACTGAGTACTTTTGAGTTGAAATTTCCCTATTACCATTACAATATTTTATTACACGGATGACGATTCAGATTCTAGTAATTCAAAGATCATTTAGCGTGACAGACAGTAAAGAATTTCAAAATTCACAAAACAGAAATTTCACTTCAAATGAAAGTACCTAGCATTATATCCAGAGATGTGATTTATTTGAAATACTTGCATTTAAATACTTTTTTGAGAAAAGCATTTTGTATTTCACTTAAAATACTTTTCCAAATGTATTTTCTATTTGTAAAATGCTAAATACATTTTTTCCGTTAAAAGTTTTGCTATTATCACTGATCAAACATTATATAAAATGATTAAAGAAAACTGCTCACACTGGCCATTGAAGGTTTTAGAAGCTTTAAAAGGGGCAAAGAGACATTCCATGAATGCCTTCTAATTATTTAACTGAAGAAAGCCCAAAACATTCTAAACTCTTTGGGAATGAATAATCTAAAATATTGAATCGATATTATTTCCCCGGTTCAATGTCATGGTCCTTGGAATTTTAAAGTTCCAAATTGATATCAGCACCTGTCAAATCACCACTTATCGTACCAGCTGTGTAAAACTGAAAACTACAAGATATTGTGGTGTGGTAATAAATGCCTATAATCCAAAATTCTTAGAAAACGATTCCAAAAACTTCACTTATTAGATGAACCCATAGCTAAAGAAACTATGAATTACATTTCTCTCTCTTATTAGAGTGTGTAAAAGATCGGAAACAAAATGAGGTTGCAAGTATTTTGATATAAAATGATTGATGTTGATTTTACATCAATAAAATTATCTGCAAGCCTATTTTGGCTCTGATCTTTCACAGTAAACAACCTATTTAGATTTCAGTGTCTTTTTTCCAATTAAAACTGGGACAAAGGCAAATAAGGTAGCATTTAGAAGAATTATTTGTTGTTGAACTGAAGAAACTATAACATAAAGATAGAATAAACTATATCATAATCACTTCAAACAGAAAAACTATAATCATACTTAATCTTCACAACTGGCGATTAGTAGCAATTTAGAAAAACACCAATATTTAAAAAAATGAGTAAATGTCTGTAAAGTTTTCTGAAACAATAATAAGTGTAGAAAATTAGTTAAATAGGTACTACAAAAAAGTGTTTATTTGAAAAAAGTATATAAAATCCATTTTGTATTTTACATTTGAAATAACAAATCAAAAAAGTATTTGCATTTTTAATTAAATACTTTTAAAAAATCATTTTGCATATCTCTGGTTGCATCAGTACATAGCACTAATAAATTAAGCCTCTGTATTTCATTAAAAAGTCATTTACGTAGAATATTAAACAGTGGAGACATAAACATTAGTTAATACATTCCTCCATTATTTCTCGTTCCATTGTACAGAAGTTGTGAAAGTGATAAAAAGTATTAATTCTGCAGTCAGTAGGTAACTGTGTTTTTGCAGAGGATTACCTATTCGCCGAGTATTTATACAGGAGTAAACACGTATTCTGTTGTATCACCAAGTTATATACGCCGATATCCGTTGTATTATCCATATTATTATTCAAGTTACTTTTCGACATTTTTCCCAAAATGGTACTATCCAAGATATTTACTTGATGACGATGTAAGTACCCAAAAAGAAGTCACCACGTTCCTTTTACGCATATCCATTAAAAAGAAAACCTTATATGTGTTTCCTAACATATTATTACAATCCTTACATTTTGTCCTGTTTCTCTTTCCACAAGCTGCAGCCACTCGATTGAACTAGCAGTGCAATATTTATGAGTTGAGTACGTATCGACCAAACGTTTAAGCAAGTTAGCATGCAACAATCAGCTGCATATATCTGCAGAAATTTCTGAAAGAGTGGCTAGTTTATGGAAAGTTCACTTAATAAATTGTATAAAATCGCTTTAATAAGTACCACCATATCAACTGATATTTCTTTACGTATTTCATCTTCCAGGATCAATTGAAATTATATATCATTTTATAATGCACACAATATTTTAAGGACCTCGCGTTTTATCGATACTATTCCTTGATCCTTATGGGTATTTACTGTTAACAAGATATTTTAGTAAAGGCTGTATGTTGCTAGACAATAGAAAAGATTAATCTATCGAATCTACCAGATGGAAACAGTGTACAGTAGATATCATTTATTACAACCTTGGTTGTAGCGACCATTTTGCTATAGCGACGTTAAATCTAAGTCCCTTAAATTTAAAGCATACTTTAGTACAAAATTCATGTGGCTATAGCGACATCGGATATAACGCCGAGTTCGGGTTTAGCTAATTAAAATGGTAAAGTTACAAAGTGCTATTCTGAGTAGCAACTGTGTTTAGTAAACTTTTGAATAAGTATGACTCCCAGATATATATTTACTGTTAAGAAAAGGCGAAAATACGTGTCTGTACCTCTTTAGTTTTACCCGTAAAGACTTCCGGATATAACGACGAAATTACAGTGGTGCCTTCGCCGTCGTTATGCCCGAAATCCACTGTATTTTTGTATCATCGTTATACAGAAATACTAAATCATTAAAAACGCGAGCGGATTCCTTTTGTTTGTTCTATTTTTCGTTTCTAGTTCTAATAATTTTAAAATAGAACAGGTGGAGATTTTGGTGGACTATCGTGTGTTTAATTGCTCATTCATTATGAATTTTGTTGATGGGACTCGGTGAATTTTTGGCACAAATACAACCCACTGCATATTTTTTCACTGTTACTCATAATCATGTTTTAAAATCCTACTTACACAAACGTCTCCCCACNATAAAAATTATACGGCTTAAATGTGAAGTTGGGTGCAAAAGAATACAATTAAATCCTCTGTCGAGAAAAAACGAAATGACTTTCCGAACAACCCTATAGAACAATTGACATGGAGGAAAATCAAAGTTGAAAATAATAAAACCATAATGAAACGTATTGGGGTGGCTACCAAAGATTTACATTTTATGACAACAAATCATAACCTACTACGTTTTTTAGTTATTTGACGATGAAACAAGATACATTCGGGCGCAGGCGGCGTCCGTATTAAGGAGAATTCATAGCCCTGTTCCGCGAACTCCTAGGGCTCTTTTACCACCAGTCACATACGTCACAAGGTAAAGCAGACATTTAAAGCAAGTATAATTGCTGGTATTAACATTGTTTATTTATTTTTATTTTTTATTTGTATAGGTATACAGAGCCAACTTATTATTCACCCTCCAGAGCTTTAACATCCGACTATTACATCCACAGGATGTTGACAACATCCCCCTATAACGCCAAAACACAATACACAACCTACTACACCGAACCTGTTAGGAAGTATATCGGTAAGATTACTGTGTCGTTAGAACGCGCATGGAATTTCAAACTGCTTACAGCTTATAATTAATATGTGCGTGCTTTAAGTGTTAAACAAGAAAAAAAGGATAAAATAAAATGAGTTTCAAGTATTAAAAAAAATATTATGAAAACAGTAATATTAAATGCACGTTATGACCGTTTAATTAAATTGGTAAATCGTAAAATAAATTAAAACTTTAAGTAATCAACATAGTTTTTGATGCAGCAAGTTTTCGAACCCGTAGATAGCGACGTTAAATCTAAGTCCCTTAAATTTAAAGCATACTTTAGTACAAAATTCATGTGGCTATAGCGACATCGGATATAACGCCGAGTTCGGGTTTAGCTAATTAAAATGGTAAAGTTACAAAGTGCTATTCTGAGTAGCAACTGTGTTTAGTAAACTTTTGAATAAGTATGACTCCCAGATATATATTTACTGTTAAGAAAAGGCGAAAATACGTGTCTGTACCTCTTTAGTTTTACCCGTAAAGACTTCCGGATATAACGACGAAATTACAGTGGTGCCTTCGCCGTCGTTATGCCCGAAATCCACTGTATTTTTGTATCATCGTTATACAGAAATACTAAATCATTAAAAACGCGAGCGGATTCCTTTTGTTTGTTCTATTTTTCGTTTCTAGTTCTAATAATTTTAAAATAGAACAGGTGGAGATTTTGGTGGACTATCGTGTGTTTAATTGCTCATTCATTATGAATTTTGTTGATGGGACTCGGTGAATTTTTGGCACAAATACAACCCACTGCATATTTTTTCACTGTTACTCATAATCATGTTTTAAAATCCTACTTACACAAACGTCTCCCCACTATGGTCCCTAATCTGCGAAACGTGTTTGTTCACTTCTCATTAACGTGGAGTTTTCGAACGATTTCGCGAACTTTTTCGTGCGTGAATTTGTTGCAGTGTGTACGTAATCTTGTGACGTAATCGTGAGTGCCCCCCCCCTCCCCAGATATCTGTAATCACTATCTGAGATGGTGTCACCACTTTTGGAACTCGTACCTTTTAAAGTAGCTCACCATAAAGAGGTAAAAACAATCTAGCTGAGAAGAGATTGAAACAAAAACGAAAACTTTTTAATGACTTAGTGTGTATTATAAGATGATATTGATTTATTGATTGATTATATGTTTAGAAGAGGGTTATATGTACATACGTTTATATGTTTATGTACACATACAATACATAAATGAACAAAATCATTTTCTTTTAAATAATAATTTTGCCGCTTAGCACTGATTGATTTATTTGCTTCCTTATTTAAATTTCGCTTTTGTTTTCAGTTTTTGGGTAATTAAATTGCTTTCTTACAGTTTAATTGTTCAATGAGTATACTTCGTTGTTAGTAATTTTGTGATTATTTATAAATTTTTGGTAGTCCCTTTAATATGTGAATGTTAAAGACTGATTTCGAATAGCTTCTTGAGGTTCTACTTTCCCAAATTGTTACAGTGGTAGTCGGTAATGATACAAGGCATTTTGGCTCAAATCCCATAAACATAACAATAAATCTCGATTTTGTTCCAAGAGTTATGTATAGGTATATACTTACACAATATAGAGGGTTGTTCGGAAAGTCATTTCGTTTTTTTTTGTGGAAATGAAAGACAGTTTTCGTATAATAAACAAACACTTTATTAAATTATATATTGACCGTTCTGGTCCAACACCTTTTGCCATCTTTCTGGTAGTAGCATAATTCCACGCTCATAAAATTTTTGGTCTTTGCTGGCAA